GATTCTGTGTCTTCCCCTCTCTCTACCCCTCCCCTGCTCACGCTGTGTCTCCTGTGTCAATAAATAAATGTTTAAAAAAAAAAAAGTCGAATAGAGAAAAGCCTGAAGTCCCACACTGAGAGACCTGGTTGGAGGAGAACCCAGAATTCCTGATGTGAGGAAACAGGGCTGGAAGGTGGGGCTCTGGGTTTGGACATCGCTCTGTTAGCTCCATGTCAACCTTGATCTCGTCACTTCACTTCTCTGGGCTTCAGTGTCCTTATCTTTGAAATGGGGGTCCCAATAATCCCTACCTCATGGAGTTTGTGTCAGGATTAAATCAATGCGAAAATGCATTGTAAACTGTGGCTTCTGCGCAATCAGTATGGCAGTTTTTATTTACTGAATGCTTTACCATTGGCCAGGCCTATCAGAGCATGTTCCTGTGTTATCCCAACATCACAGCAGCCTCGAGGAGTAGCTACAGTCAAGGACACTCCCATTACACAGAAGGGAAAACTTGGATTTAGAAGGTCTAACTGGCCCCCGTCACACACTTGTGAGTAGGGCAGAGCTGGGACTCAAACCCTGACTTGTTGACACCAGAGACTAGGCCGTGAACCACTGCCAAACAGCTGCCAAATACAGAGGTGAAGTGGGATCATTACCAGAAAAATCCCCCCTCCCAAATCACACACCTCACCCAGCCTTCATATCTGCCCCTCATCTCCAGCTTTCACTCCTAGCAGGGACGTGTTGGGCAATAAATCCTTAGGGCCACATCATTATATAGACTCTCTGCACCTTCAGGTAGATACGATCAAGGGAAAAAGGAAACTCACAAGAAAACAGGTACATACACAAGTTGTCCACAGAAAACTTATGTTTGCAAATAACTATAGACCGACCCAACTGTCCCAACCATAAGGGAATGGCTCCATACCACTGAAAACCCACTGAGGCCACATACATAATACATATGTATTATATATACACGTACATATAATACATAGATGTCATTTATTCAGCTTGCTGTACATTGGCATATGAGCTAGCTGATTTATAGACTTTGTTATTTAAATCTCACACATCCTGCACAGCCGTGTATATTATTCCCATTTTATAGATGAGGAAATTGAGACACAGCACTAGTAAGAACAGACATCAATTCCAACTTGACTCTGTCTGGTTTCCAAACCCATTCACTCCCACAGCCACATAGCAGCAAAGAACAAGCTTACAATTCATTCATTCAACAATACTTATTGAATACCCCCTATATGCTAGGCATAGTACTAGGTACACAAGCACTAAGTTACAACAAGATAGTTGTAAACAAGATAGACAGGGGCTCACCTCACAGGACACACAGCCCACTGAGAGGCAGGATCCCAAGGTGGTGAAGAACTTTTCCATTTTCTATCTCTATGGTCCTAAATAACTTGTTTAACCCCCTTAGCTTTCCATTTCATAATCTGTAAAATGATAATATTAAAATTACTATCCTTGGGATTATTATAAGGGATAAATAAATAATGCCAGCAAACTGCTTAGCACAATTCCTGTACATAGTAAGCATTCAAAAAATGAGTTATAATTATCTTAGAAAAATAGCTTTAATTTAAAGCGGTAAGTATTGGGGCGCCTGGGTGGCGCAGTCGGTTGAGCGTCCGACTTCGGCCAGGTCACGATCTCGCGGTCCGTGAGTTCGAGCCCCGCGTCAGGCTCTGGGCTGATGGCTCAGAGCCTGGAGCCTGTTTCCGATTCTGTGTCTCCCTCTGTCTCTGCCCCTCCCCCGTTCATGCTCTGTCTCTCTCTGTCCCAAAAA